CGATTGGCTTCTATCAACCACCACCCTCTGGGTCCTGCCGCGGAGCCAATTCCCCAGCCAGCAGATCGTGGTGAGGTCGAGGCCGCAGTTAGCCAGTTTTGCCAAGAGGTGATCATGGAATACCAGATCGAAGGCTTTTCTGAAGTCAAGATGTACAACATCAATCTCTTTCCCCTTGTCCAGGTGATAGGTCACCTGGTTGTAAAAGGAAATGAGATTGGTCAAGCAAGACCTACCCGCAACAAACCTGTGCTGGCTATCCCTCAGAATATTGCCATCAACTAGTCTGTTAAGGACAACCCCTTTGATAATCTTTTCCAAGACCTTCCCCAGGATAGAGGTCAGGCTGATGGGCCTGTAGTTTGCCGGATCTACTTTCCTCCCTTTCTTGAAGATTGGCACGACATTGGCCTTCGTCCAATCATCGGGCACTTCACCAGAGCACCAGGAGTTCTCAAAGATCCGTGCCAGGGGCTGGGCTATGATGCTTGCCAGCTCCTTGAGTACCCTTGGGTGTAAACTGTCAGGGCTGGCTGACTTGAAGGTATTCAGTCTGTCAAGGTGTTCCTTCACGAGGTCAGCTTCGATGGAGGGTAAGGAATCTCCTTCACCCGGGCCTCCCTGACCCACAGTGGGCAGTGGTGTCCCATGGGACTGATGAAAAACAACGACAGGACTGAAGTTTTTTCCCATCTTGCTGTTACATTTCAGCTGATATTTCATCACAACCACATGCTTTGTTGTTCATCTGCTTAGTGGCTTTCAAGGCCTCTTGATAAGTTGGTGCACCTGCAAGGTAGTTCTTAATGGGATGTTGTGACATGGCTTCTATGGTATTGTCTTTGAAATTAGAAACTCGGTTCAGGATATCTTGAAAGTCCTTTTTCTGCCATACCTTGATGGTAGACCTGTCCTTAAAGAGTGTTGTTCCTTGCACCTCTGAGGGACAGCTCCTTGTATGTTTGGCCCATAGATAGTTTTGTTTGTGCTAAAGAAACTATGTATGTCTTGGCTGTCAAGAAACTGTTGAATCTCTTTAGCTTTGTCCTCCCACTACTTCAGGGTGGGCAAAATGCGGGCCATATCCAGCCCACCAATTGATCCTGTTAGGCCCACTGGCCAATGCTGGGAGTCTGAAGAGGGAGGGTTGGGCTGCTCTGTTCTGCTGCAGCCAAGGCTGGGCTGGGCTGCACAACGTGCAGACTCCTCTGCCCCCACCCAAGCCGGCTTCCTGTTGGCACTGTGGTTGTGTAGTCTTGGCACCACAGCTGCTGGCAGGACAGGGCACGACGCAGTGCACCAAGTAGCCTTCCCACCTGCTGCAATGAGCTGCTGCTGTCACAGCATCGCTAGGAGGTGAGTCTGTGTTGACTTCAGGTGGGGCTTGGCCTGAGGCAGCCACTCCTGACTTTCTCAGTGTGGCATGGTGGCACAGGCTCATTGTGGTGGGAGGGACAAGCAGGACACCTGTTTGGCACACTGCATCATGCCCCATTCTGTGCAGGCCTGGCTGCCAGTGCCACGATGCCAGAACTGTGCAGTGCCAACAGGAAGTTGGGCTGGGGTAGGGGGGGATGGATATGGGGGTGAAGGAGTCTGCGCGCTATGTGGCCTGGCCCCAGCTGTGGCAGAACAGAACGGCGCAAGGTGCAGCCCTCCCTCCTCAGGCTCCTGGTGGTGGCCAGTGGGCTGGACAGCATCAGTTGGCATCTCCCACTCCCCCTTTCCTCTCTCAGCCCTCAACTGCTCACCAAAACTCATTAAGTGGCCCCCCAGCCCAAATAATTGCCCACCTCTGCACCACTTGATCTTCTGCTCTCAAATTTTCCTCTGGGTCTTGGCTTTAATGTGGCAATAAGCATCTTGCTTCTGTTTGGAGTTGATGCCATTCTGCCAGGCTTTGAAGGCCTGCTTTTTTCTGTCAGTGAAAGCTTGCATTTCCCTATCATTCTCATTGAACCGTTCCTGAAGTTTCTGTATTCTCATCGAACCATTCCTGATGTGGAGAAACCTAGAGATCCTTTGCCCACCTCACAGGTACCTTTCTTGAGGCTCTCCCAATGATTGATGTACCAAGAATATCAGGGAATTTTTCACTGCTGGAGATGTTTCCTTTTGGCAGGGTCTTTCACGCACTCAATATTGAACCATTTTCTTGGTGTGCTTCTTTTATTTTCATTGTCTTGGGGACGATACAAATGGACATGATGGGAAGTGTCAAATGATGATCTGTCCAGCAGTCAACTATGCCGATCACAGCTCTGGTGATTCGGATGTCACGATGGTCCCAGGCATGCACTGTGATGTGGTCAATCAGGTGCCAGTGTTTTGAGCAGGAGTGCAACCATGGGGTCTTTCATGTGTTGCTTTGGCAAAATAAAGAGTTCTTGATGATGAGATCATGGTTCAAACACTTGTTTCTGTGAAGAATTCCATTTGAATTGAATTTACCCACCCCTTCCTTCCTTTCCAAGTGTTGTGATTGTCTGCTATAGCAGGAGACTGGATTTGATGACCTAATCCAAAAGGTCCTGTCCTGAACAGGACAGATGGACACTGTTTTGATACAGATAAGTATGTATTACTGCTCTGAGGATCTCCAGCTGTTGAAAAAAGATTTTGAGATCTGCCTTCTAACTTCCAAGTATGTGTTTTATCTTGTAGCTACAGAATTACTACCAGATGACCAGTGTTTAATAAAGCTGTTGAAGGGTTTATGTCTCAAGCACTTGGGCAAGATTTCAGAGGCTGAAGATCATTTTACCTACATCCATATGAAGTAAGTTTTGTACTTAGACAGGAGAATCCTAAGAAGTCCTGCATGATTTGTAATCTCTGGGAATGGACAGACAACCGTGTACCCTGTGATAATTTACATTGTTTTGTACACCAATGTAACTTATACAGGAGACACTTGCCATTCGCAGGGGAGATGTTCTCATATCCCGTGCGAATCGCGAAATCTGCAAATAAGGCACTATGTTCGTGAAAATAACCATGGCCGATGAGGGGGCACAGCTGTGCTGGCGACGGTGGTGGGAGCCTGGCGGTGGCAAGCACAGAGGTCCCAAGGAGCTCCTTTAAGTGTATTTAAGATATAGGTTCGGCATTCGCGAATATTTGAAACCTCAAATGCCAAAGCCATGAATAGTGAGGGTTTCCTGTACCAGGATGAGGAATAGACATACACGCAGCTCTTGGAGGGTATCTCACGTAGTAGGTAGCTGTTGTTCCTTGCTTCTGGGCAGCAGTAATAACCTGTTTGCCTTTAGCAAATGGCTTCCCAAGGTTGGGCACAAAAAGATGATGCCTAAACCAATGATTATACCAGTACCTTTTTATCCTGATTATTTCAGGATTAAATTTTCCACTGGACTGAGTGATGTAAACCCTTAAACTGGGGTAACTTCATCTGTCTGCTACTTTTTTACAGTGACAGAATGCTGATTACACAAACAGAATGTAAAACTGATTACACGGGCACAAACACATCATTTGTCCATGTCCTCAAGCTGTCAAGTCCTGAGTGTGGAGTTCTATTCTGTAACTCATGTGAAAATGCCACTATTTTACTCAGCAGATCTGCAATCTGTGTATTGAGAGTTCCATCTGCTGACTTCAGTGACAAAAGTGCTTTTATGCCATTTTCTCTTCTGTTAGCCTTGCAGAGTCAACACAACTGAGTGTGAAAGAGTGGGATTCCATTATTTCTTGTGCTTTTTCAACAGAATTGTTTGGAGCAGTACAAACCCACTGAAAGCGAAGGTGCCACTCGGGGCATAACTGTGTTCTGCAGAGCCTGTGTGGAATTCTGTGAAAAGGAAAGAGCCCAGCTTGACTGAATTTGCCAGGCAGGCAGATAGGAAAAACATTGTGCATGAGCACATTAGACAGAGAATGCTTGAGCTATAGTAAACCTGTAATCCCTTAATCCCATTTTAATTTTGTTGTCTGGAGGAGAATCTCATTTTAATGCAGCCGACCGAGACTGTTGAGATACGGATGCTTGTAGAGCTTTTCCACTGGAAGTATTTTGAAATGGCAGCAGGGGAGAACGCATCTCGACTGTGACATTCCAGAGTGCTCGCAAGTGAATGCACTCTTCGCTTTTCTCTTACCACATTTTATTTTCCGGAGATTTGTGAAAGAAACTGATTTTCTAGGCTCTTTTCAGACTGCTGACCCAAAGCCTGCAGCTTGTTCAGTGTGGGGCAGTCCCCATGCCTCCAGGCAGTGCTTCCTAAATGGTGAGGGCTGCCTGCCTAAGCAGCAGAACTGGGGCTTTAATCTCAACGTGCTTCTGTCAAGCATGTTAAGAACAGGTTGTGCAGATGTTTATCCGGAAGAGTTCAGACCAGAGTGATCATGCCTATAGATTGGGCTGGACTAGCTGGTCTCGAGGTCTGTATAACTATCGGTGGCCACAACAAGGGGTGATAAATATTGGTGCTGGGGTTTTTTTGCAGCGGATATCTGTTTGTTTTATGGAGGGAGATCACGAGCAGCCCAGAGCTGCCTGTGCTCTCCAGCCACCCCAGGCTGG